GGTAACCCTGTGGGAGAACCCTTGGATGCAGGTCGCTTTCAAAGGGTTATCATCAGGGATTTAGTGCGACGGCCTCATGGACGTTACGTTCATCTCCTTTGGGATGGTGTGACCATCTGGATGGCCGATACGGGTGCCGTTGGGGTACCGTTGTATGTTGTTGGCCGTAGAGTCCCCTGGCCGTTCTGGGTGTTTTTCTCCCCTTTCCCGTTCCGTAGAGCCTGATTTGCCAGCGGGCTCTTGATATGTAGGTTGGGCTTGGCCCATTGGTGACGTGGTAGCCTCCCGTTGGTGGCCGTTGGTGTGGCCACTGGGAGGGTGATACGTGTAGTGACCGTTGGGTAGGGGTTCTATAAATATCCCTCTCCATCCGACGAGAATTCTCACTTGCAATCTGAGTTGTCGAAGTGCTGGCCAAATTCCTAGAGAGATAAATTCCCAAGCTTGTGTTCTTCGTGTTTTTCGTGTTCTTCAAGGTTAGTGTTCATCGAAATCTCTCTGTACTTTGCATATTTTGCTTCCTAGGCTAGTGATCTAGTGTTAGGCGCTTGAACACCCTTAGATCTCGAAGTAGGCTGCAGTATACCCGAAATAGTGTTTTAAGATGAAAAACTTCAACGAAGAGTACTATCCCTACGACGACGAGCCCTCCACCAAATCCCTTGACTATGAGGTGGTCGAGGAGTTCTGTGAAGAGCTTGAGAATCTGAGCTCGTTCAGGACCGGGGAGCCGGCCGAGGAGGACGGTGCGGACGAGGGGTCCGCGTCATCGTCTGGAGATGGGGACGCAGGTGTCTCCCGAACTACTGATGGGGCGTCCACGTCGGCTGCCATTCCCTGCCCAAAGCCAGTGTCTGCTGTGAAAGGTGTTGGGCCGCCGAAGAGGGTAAGGAGGCCGAAGAGAGGGCCAACCTTCTCTTACTTGGATCTGACGAACATCTACGTTATCAGGCCGGAGAGTAATGCGGGTGAATACCTGGTTGCGCAGATGTATGTGGGGCCGTATGGTAGAGTTAGGGCCCCCAGGCCGACGGATAATGTGCTTAATCCACCCCCGGGTTACTTCGGAGTGTACCCGATGAGCTTTGCCAAAGAGCTTAGGTTCCTGCTTCATCCCTTTATCACCGAGTACCTCGATATGGTGGGGCTTCCTCCGGCTTTGTTGACGCCAAATAGCTACTCGCTCATCGTCGGCTTCCTTCTGCGGTGTGCTGAGTTGGATTTTAGGCCGACGACGGCGTTGTTCATGAACCTATACCAGATAGGCCGCGGAAGTCACCAGAACTGCGCGTCATATGCCACTCTCCAACAACTTCCCAAGAAGAGGAGTTTTACAGACCTGCCGACGTCCATCCATGACTGGAAGGGGAAGTTTGTGTTCGTGTCCTTGGGTGAAAGGGGCGTAGAGTTTCCCTCCGTCGGCCATAGCGGGCAGTTTAATCTTCATGACACGCCGAGGAGCTCCATCCTGGACGCTCAGGTTGAGGCTTTCCTGAAAGGAGGACCGAGGAGTGTGAAGACGTATATTACCGAGTACAAAATGGCCGCCCTCGGCTTTGTACGGTATTTTGTGTATGGTGACAATGACGACGATGTGGAGTTGTGGCCGAAGATGACCACGTCTTATGAGGAGGCTGATGGTCCCGATCTGGGGGTGCCAGCTGAGGCCGATGGTAATTCCCTTCTGATGTACTTCTTCGCGTCATGCATTTGTATTCTCTGTTTTTCTAACCCTTAGCGTTTTTTCGTGATGCAGGTTTTGTGATGGATCGCATGTCCTTTATGAAGAGGGCACAGCTCAAAGCGGCCGAGGAGCTGAAGGCCCAACAGCCTGGTGCTTCCCCTGCGGCCAAGCCCCCGGTACAGCCGAAGAAGAAACGGCAGGCCGATGAGGGCCAAAAAAAGTTGATCGAGGTGGGACTGAAGCCTCCCAAGAAGTTGAAGAGAGCTTCCTCCCAAGAAGTTGACCGGGTTCTGGGCCAAGCTGGCGATGATGACCGATAGCGTGGCCTGGACCTGCGGATCCACAGACGGAGAGGCCGCGGCCATAGGCTGGGCCGGGGCGTGGTCTGTCTTCTCAGCTCGTTTCTTGTCCAAGCCGATGCGGGCATCAGGGGCTCCGCCGTTGAGTTGGTTGTGGAGGTCCGTCGTGAGGTTGATGGCCTCCTGGAAGACGTCCCCTCCGCCAACCTGGTCGGCCGTAGCATCCTCCTCGTGCTCCCTGGTCCTCGGGGATGGCCTTGCTGACGAGGTTGCGGTTTGACTTGGTTCTTCCCATGATAAGTGGTTAGCTGTGCTTGGTAGCGACGAAGGGTGCTAACTTGATTGTTCTAGCTCTCAACGAGAGCACCAAATGATAGAGTATATATCTAGAGAGAAGTGAGAGCTAGAGAGAGAAGTGCAATATATGCTTCAATAGAATGATTTGGTAACCCTGATAACTACCTCCAGACGAAGTATTTATAGGGAAAATACGGGCTGGGCTCCCAAGTCTTGGGCTTGGGAGGCCCATTTAAAACTGGACCGCTATTGGGCCGAATACAAAGCCACTAGTGCGTTGTACAAATGAATAAGTGTAAAATCCGGTTCTGTGAGTCTCCTGTGGCCGACGAGGGCACGGCCGACGAGGGCACGACCGACGAGGACATCCTGGTTCCTTGGCTTCAAGATCATATTCTGGGTTGGCCCCTCTTCGGCCGACGAGGGTCTTCTGGCCGACGAGGGCGTCGCGTAGTGGCTGTGCTTTCTGTTCCGAGTATGTGGATCCTGGGGCCTGGACCCATATACTCCATCACTCCTCTACTCACGAAATAGAGTCTCACATATGGGTGGTGGTATTAGCAAGTAAGTCCATTAGGGAAATAAGAGATGAATGAAATGCTAAAATCTTTCAAGGTAAAATTGACTTTTTTATTCCTAAAAGAAGACTCAGAAAGATTAGAACACCAAAACTTAATACTCAAAAAATTGAGGTATAAACAAAAACATCCAAATTTTAATCCCAAAAGATTTTGGGGTCGACTAACCTGAATTGAATCATGATATCGATGTCAAAAAATACTCACATTGAGGTAATTTCACAAATTTATAGTAGGGACTGGTGACAGCGCCCCAATATTTTAGTCATAGATAAATGCTAGGGGTACACAAGTTGTACACAACTTGTACACAAAATGTTGGTCACGGACAATTGGTACGAAGTTGCCTGTGAGCACAAACAAGAGTTGGTTGTGTACGCAGAAAACTTTTGTCTGTGTCCACAAACATTAATTTTCATGTAAAAAAGTACATTAACAGCTGCCTGACACTAACACCAGCTTGCAAATCAATCTATATATGTGCAGTGCATGTGTGCACATACAATATTTATCACACAGACAATAGTCGTGTGGCTCATCACATACAACTATTGTCTGTGTGATCAACTTTAGTTGTCGGTGTGATCAATTTAATTGTTTGGGTGAACAAAAAAATTAATTGTCTATATACATCCAAATGAATGATGAAATTGTATTTGTGATCTAATTGCATGTAATTTGAAAAAATAAGAAAAATAATAAAAATAGATGAAATAAGATGAATAAAGTGAATTTTTGCAAATAATGGAAAAATTTTAATATAAAAAGGTAAAGAAAAAGAGGATGAAGAAGGGAAGAGGAGGATGAAATAGAGAAGAAAGATCTTCCCACATTTTTTTGAGAATCTTAGAAGGCATTGGTAAAGAAGAAAGAGAGAAGGGGAAGAGAGAAGGGAGAGAAAAGAGGGAGGGAAAATGGGATTTCTTTTTGCTTTTCTACCATATATATACAAGTTGTGTACAAGTTTTGTACACTAATTATTTTCCTTAGTCATATATGCAATGGGACAATTACATTTAATTATTTGATTTTTAATAGTAAAAATAAAGAAAATAAACAGCCAAAGGAAGTACATGCTTTTATCTAGAGAACCCCAAGTCTAGAGAGCTCCCTTAGGAGAGATAATCCATTTTAAGATAAAGTAAATTTGAGAGACAACTTCTTTAATACTACCTCCGTTCCATTAACATTGAGACATGAGGGTGACGCGCTTATTACAAAAAGTGAATTTATGTTGCTTATATTGAATTGATATAATAAGAATAAAGTAAAATGATTTAAAACAACACATAGTTTACCAAATCTGGTATAAGACCATATTTATGGGACGGATCAAAAAAGAAAGATGAGACAATCTAGCACAGACAAAGTAATATAAATTCTATATTTTCTTCCATAAGTAGAATTCATACACTCATAATTTTTGTATTCTTTTGACCTTTTAATAGGCCAGGCCTAAATGAATCATATTCTTTAGAATTTTGATTATTTCAAAGAACTTCTTGAATAATAATTGCACAACACAACAATTGATTACATATGGGTAATCTGGTAAAGTGTGAAATATATATGGAGTACAAGAAAAGTTTTATTTCAAGGAGAACATTTCTTAGCTCCTTTTAGCGGGTTTAATGCACCAAACTCCTCTGTGATATGGAAATTCAACGCATTACTCCCCTATGATTTAAAAACTGCGTCAAACCCCCTTGTGTTTTAATTAATTATGCGCAAAATCCTTTCTATTAACAAATTCAGATGTCATATCAAAGAAAAATGATTAACAATTTTGTATGATTTAGAGCTTTTAACATATTTATTTACATAGTCAATCAGAATATTAGGAAAAATGATTTCAAAATCATTAAATTTATTCATAAAAAGGGTTTTGTGCATGATTAATTAAAACACAAGACGATTTGATGCATTTTTCAAATCACATGCGGACTAATGCGCTGAATTTCTTATCACGAGAAGGTTTGGTGCCTTAGACCCCTTTTAGCCTACCACATTTGATAGCACCGGTCAACAAGCATTGACATTGACCTTTAGCGTTGACCCGTGCAGCCGTGCTGACCGAGGGGCTCGTTAATTAAGTATATCAGCAATACATTATGAGTAGCTAAGCTATCCCTCGATCCACATGATTAAAGACATACATGTCTAAAAGAAGTAAGAGTAATGGATGCCGGGCAGTGAAGGTGGTTATAATCAAGACCGAATACGTGAAGACGGATATTAGCAGCTTTAAATCTGTGGTTCAGAGGCTGACCGGTAAACAGGTGGAGGAGGAGGAGTCCAGGGCGGCGGAGACGGCTGTGCCGGCACCAGCTTCGCGTTTTGACGGCGGCCAAGTTAACAGCGCATGCCCTACTCGGTTGCAATTACAACGTCAGCCGCCGGAAACGGATGTGTGCTTTGATGATTATTTTTTGCTGTTTGGCAAAGAGTTGTCATCATTAGATGAGTTTTTTAGGCTACCCGCATAATAATACGCATTCCCAATCAATGATTTTTTTTAGTTTTGATGGTCAATCAATGAATTAGTTAACCAAATATTGTTGAAGTAATTAGTTCATACGGGTCCATACGGAGTATAACGTGATCACTTACAAGCTGCGTATTTGTAATTTCAAGTTCTAAATTAGGTACATGTATTATAAATAAATTTGATATATGAGTTATATTTTTTAATCTACTACCTTGAGAGTGTATGCAATGCCGAAAGATCGATCATAAACGTTATAATAAAACATGAATTTATTTTAATATTTTATTTACTTGTATGAAATATGATAAAGCTTTTACAAAATTTTGAACACTTCCTTATACACTACATTAAGTGTGGAATTGCTAGGCTCGTCCTTATCACCACTTATCATGAATTTTAATCCTGATGGATTTTTAACCCTAGATACCGCCACATACAACTGACCATGAGTAAAGACCGGGCGACGCAAGAAGATGCTGGAAAAATGTGTTAAAAATTGCATTAAATGGTCATTTTGGGGCAATTATTTGAGTGGGGTCCACTTCCGATTTGGGTCGGATCAAAGTGGTTTCAGATTGTCCTTGTTAAGGGCTACAATTCGATATGTGGTACACTCAAAACGGATAACGGGTGAATGAGAAATTGATTCTCGAAGTTCACTCGTTGAAATGGAAAAACTGGGAAAATGATGGGTTTCTAGCCTCTTTTAAGGAGTTAAGATTCCTAAAGGTAAAGACTCTCTCTTACGCGCAGGGGGGTGCCGATCAAATCCCGAAACGAAGAAGAAATGCCCAACGTTCTTCTCTTTTAATGCTGCGTTAAATGGACAATTTATGGACGATTCAATGCCCAACAGACTGGTCATTGATGTCCAACGTTCAGGTCCATTAACACTACATTTAACACACAACAAATCCTCCTATAAATAGCTGGCAGGTGGTTTGCAACAAACACACGTTCTTACACGTTCACAAGCAATCATACACGTATTTTAGCTCTCAAAAACACCTTCAGCTCTCCGAAAATTTCTGAGTGTTCTCCTTTCTTCCCGTTGGAACTCTCGTTTGTGTGCTCAAACGTTAGTTCGTTAGCCACCGTATCCTGGGAAACGTTCGTTGCAACGCTCCTTGCACCGTGGGAGGCGATGAATATGTTTTAAGGACATCGTGCGTAGCACGGGCTCTGGCTAAACTCTGTCCCATTTCTTTTTTATGTTTTTCTTTGGCTATTTAAATTAATTAATTATTTTTATTAATTAATATTTCTTCGTTTTTCCGAGACACACCCAACAATCTTAAAACGTATTCGTTGATTGTGTTACTGTGGTAAACAATCTTAAAATGTATTTTTCCAAGCTTGTATCACACGGATACAATCTTAAATCATAGTTTGTCACTTTGGTGAACGAACCTATTTTTTGTGTTTTCGGAAAACGTAAGAAAATGTTAAAATGGCTTCACAAGAAATTGGAAATGTTGGTGGGCAGAACGTGTCAAACGATAATCACTCTAAAAGTGGAGCATCGGTGAACAATGGTTCACAACGCGGTGCATCTACTTTGGGCAACCAAGGGGCAATCCCTATGGTTACCGTACCGAGCAACTCTGTGGAGAAACCCAAAAAATTTAACGAGTTAAACTTCAAGAGGTGGCAACAAAAGATGCTATTTTACCTCACTACTCTCGGTCTTGCTAGGTTCTTGACCGAAGATGCGCCGATAGCAACCGGGGGTGAGGTGGATGCGCAATCTTTCAACGCGGTTGAAGTTTGGAAGCATTCTGACTTCCTTTGCCGAAACTACGTGTTGAACAGGCTGCATTATGCTTTGTACGACGTGTATAGCAAATTAGCTACGGCTAAGGAGCTATGGAATGCTTTGGACCACAAATATAAAAGCGAGGATGTCGATGCAAAGGAATTTGTTGTCAGCCGATTCCTTGATTGTAAACTGGTGGATTCGAAGACGGTCTTGAGTCAAGTTGAGGAAATGCAAATGATCTTCAACGAAATTCGAGATGAAGGAATGACAGTTAGTGAGTCTTTCCAAGTGGCGTCAATTATCCATTTATTGCCGCTGGCTTGGAAGGATTTCAAGAACTACCTTAAGCATAAGCAAAAGGAAATGAACTTGGAGCAATTGATCCTCCGTCTGCGGATTGAAGAGGATAACCGGAAGAACAATGGGAAACTCCCAATCGTTACCAGCACCAAGGCAAACGTGGTGGAGCATGCAAAGGGCTCAAAAACAAAAAAATAATGGGAAGACAAGCTCGGTCCCAAGGGAGGCGTTTCCAAGACGAAGTTCAATGGAAAATGCTTCAATTGCAACAAGAACAGACACAAGTCCGCGGATTGCAAGGCACCAAAGAGGAAGAAAGATTCTCACGTGAACTTGGTGCAAGGTGGGCAAAAGGATGAAGACATCATCCTTGCGGCTGTGGTGACCGAGGTCAACCTCGTTGGATCCAATTCCAAGGAGTGGTTCGTGGACACCGGTGCTACCCGACATATTTGTTCAAATCGGGAGTTATTCACTACTTTTGAGCCATCAAATGGTGAAAAGGTGTGCATGGGAAACTCAGTCCATTCCGCGGTTGAAGGCGTGGGCAAGTGGTCCTGAAGATGACTTCAGGCAAGGAGCTGACTCTCAACCAAGTGTTGTTCGTTCCGGAGATATGAAAAAACCTGATTTCCGGCTCGTTGTTGAACAAGCATGGCTTCCGCATGGTCTTTGAGTCGGACAAACTGGTTTTGTCTAAATCGGGAATGTATGTGGGCAAGGGGTATATATGTGATGGGCTGTTTAAGCTCAATGTAATGACTATTATTATTAATAATAATAAAATCTCTTCTGCTTACTTGCTTGAGTCTTCTAATGTGTGGCATGGTAGACTAGGACATGTTAATTTTAATTCTATACGTAGATTAATTAACATGGATCACATTCCTAAATTCACAATTGATGTGAAGCACAAATGTGAAGTTTGTGTAGAGGCAAAACTAACAATAACGTCTTTCAAATCGGTTGAAAGAAAAACGGAACCACTTGAATTAATTCATAGTAACGGTTGTGATTTTAAATCAATACAAACACGTGGCGGTAATAAATATTTTATTACCTTTATCAATGATAGCACTCGCTATAGCTACATTTATTTATTAAAAAATAAACACGAAGCAATCGATAAATTCATCTTTATAAGAATGAAGTGGAAAACCAATTTAATTGACGGATTAAAGCGGTTAGAAGTGATCGAGGTGGTGAGTATGAAGCACCAATTGGTGACTTTTGCGCGAGCGTGGGTATAGTACATGAACGTACTGCACCCTATTCACCTCAATCAAACGGTGTTGCTGAACGAAAGAATCACACATTGAAAGATATGATGAATGCAATGCTAGTAAGTTCGGGCCTGCCACAAAATATGTGGGGCGAAGCAGTCTTGTCAAGCAATTACCTTTTAAATAAGGTTCCCCGGAAAAAATATGATAAAACTCCCTACGAGTTGTGGAAAGGTAGACGGCCTTCCTATCAATATTTAAAAGTGTGAGGGTGTCTTGCAAAGGTGCTTGTACCAACACCTAAGAAAATAAAAATAGGTCAAAAACGGTGGATTGTATTTTTATTGGGTATGCACAAAATAGTAGTGCTTATCGGTTTTTAGTGTACGATTCGAATAATCCGGATGTACATAAAAACACAATAATTGAATCAAGGAATGCATCATTCTTTGAAGACGTATTTCCATGCAAGTCCAACGAAGGACCAAGCACGTCAAAACAAACATTTGACGTAGCTATGGAAAATACTAGCGAGGGCTCTGAAGAAGAAGCCGAACCCAGACATAGCAAACGTGCTAGAGTTGAAAAATCCTTCGGACCGGATTTTCTCACCTACTTGGTAGAATTTGAATCGGATATTCTAACATGTATGGTAGAAAATGAACCGGATTTTCTAACATGTTTGGTAGAAAATGAACCACGGACTTATACGGAAGCCGTTACGTCTACCGAAGGTCCTATGTGGAAAGAAGCCATCAAAAGTGAGGTGGATTCTATTCTTAAAAATCACACATGGGAATTGGTTGATCTTCCTCCGGGAAATAAACCTTTGGGATCCAAGTGGATTTTTAAACAGAAAATGAAACCTGACGGTTCCATCGATGAGTACAAGGCCAGACTTGTAATCAAAGGATACAAGCAACGTGAGGGCCATGATTACTTTGACACGTATTCTCATGTGACGAGAAAAATTTCCATTAGGATGATACTAGCGATTGCCGCATTGCGGAAATTGGAAGTTCATCAAATGGACGTAAAAACCGCTTTTCTAAATGGCGATATAGACGAAGAAATCTATATGGAACAGCCCGAAGGCTTTCGTGTTGCTAGCCAAGAAAGGAAAGTGTGTAAATTAATTAAATCATTGTACGGATTGAAACAAGCCCCTAAACAGTGGCACGAAAATTTCAACCATGTAATGTTTTATGGCCCCTAAAACAAACGAAAGTGACAAATACGTCTATGTGAAGAGCATGGTAGACGGCTATGTCATTTTATGTTTATACGTGGATGATATACCTATCGTGGGTAGCAATAATCTAATGATTAATTCTACCAAAAGCATGTTAAATTCTAAATTTGACATGAAGGATATGGGGCCGGTCGATTTAATCCTTGGGATTAAAATAATTAGGGGACCAGATGATCTCACGCTAAGCCAATCCCATTACGTTGATAAAATCCTTACGAAATTTAATAAGGATGATTATCAAGAGACAAGGACTCCATTAGATAAAAACATACAACTTACCAAAAATCGTGGAGAGTGTATTTCTCAAGTAGAATACGCTAGGATTATTGGAAGCTTGATGTATCTAATGAGTTGTACCAGGCCTGATATTGCCTTTGTGGTTAGCAAGTTGAGTAGATATACCGGTAACCCCGGTGATGAACACTGGAAGGCAATAGTAAGGGTATTGAGGTATTTACGTAAAACCCAAAACCTTGGACTGCACTATGGAAGATATCCAGCTGTACTTGAAGGGTATAGCGACGCTAGTTGGATATCCGACATTAAGGACTCAAAGTCCACAAGTGGATATGTTTTCACTTTGGGAGGTGCAGCCA